TTGTCCTGGGACAACACATGGAACAATCAGAACTGTCCAGAAGGGAGGCCCGTGTCGGGGTTGGACCAGAGCACGTGACCACGTACACGTCTCTTTCCCTCCAGACTCAGGAATCTCACACTTTGTCCCTGTCTGTACTTGGGTCCACCTTGGGCCAAACCACGTGTGTTCTTCTGGGCCCTCCTCCCTCAGCTGGTCAACAAAGCCCAACAGAAACCCACGGCAATGCTGTTCCGCCAGCGCTGTCCCCACCAAGCACCTGGGGCACATCAGGGACTCCATAAGCATGACCTCAGGAGGCTCTGCAACCACCAGGGAAAACCACACATTCCCCCACTGTGGCCGCAGCACCCCAAGACAAACACCCCTCTACATATTTCCTCCCAGGAACTTGTCCTGGGCTGTCATTCCACCCCACCCATTCCTGTGCAGGAGGCCTAACCCCAGGACCCCAGGACATGCCTGCGTGGCACACAGGGCCTGACCGGGGTCATTACAGTGGAGCCCAACCCAATCATGCTGGAGTCCTTCTAGGAACGGAGATCAAGCCCCAGACCGGGGAGAACAGCAGGAGAGAGGCCTGGCCATCCCATTCCCTCCTCTCCATGTGCCCCAGGCAGTGGCTGGGAACGTGTTCCTGCCTCCCAGCTGGCCAACTGCATCCAGGCCTGGCAATGCCACTTACAGCCCCTGCCAAGGCCACCAGTCACATTAGCCCTCAAGACACCCTGCAAATGCTCTGGGATTGGGAGGCCCCTGAATGCGGGTTCCGCTGACTCTCTCTGGCCGATCCTCGGTGGGAAGTGAGCGCAGATTCCGAGGCCTTCAGACACGGTCAAGGCCCTCCCTCGAGCTCCCCGAGACCCCACTGACGGAAGTTCCCGGGCTGCACAGCTGATAACTCAGAACCGTGATGCGACACGGTGCACACACTCGCACCCATGACAACCACACAGGCTGCTAGCAGAAGGATCAGGTCACCACAGCTCAGTTGTGGAACTGGTGAGTCAAGTGTAAATTACCTGAATGCGGAGGGCGGAGTCACCAGCAGGGGCCTGCTCACATCCAGGCCTCACACACAGAACCCTGCCCTGCGGTGAGCACCACGAGTATAGCACAACCAAGCACAAGAGAAGAAGTACTCTCGGCGCGCCCAGTGCTCTCCTCACCTGCTGGTGACCCGCGGGTTCTGCAGTGACCAAGTGGCCTTTCAGACTGGGATTCACAGGCTGCCGCTGACAGGCAGCGGGTTCAGGACTTAGGGTGATCTTCCCAAACTAGCAAACGAATTCCTGGCCTATTTGAGTGTGATTTTGTGCACAAACATGAAAACAGATGATCTTGGCAGGAGGGTTATCAAAGTCAAGATTCAGGAGTCCAAATAAAGAGCAGAGCTCGACAGAAACACTAGCAACAGCAGAGAGCTTGGGCAGACTCCAGGTCGGGCGTGCTTGGCTTTTTTATCTGAATCATCCCAAAAATACGTCTTTCCACATTGTGGAGGGCTGCCTCTAGGAGAGCCCTAAACACCTGTCCCTGACCACCCCGTATGCATGCACAGTGTGGAACCCTTCAGTTGAGGGTGGACAGGGCCTGGACTTGCTCCAATGAGCAGAGGACGGCAGAAGTCAGGAGACCTCATTCCCTCCCTGAGTTACAAAGTGCTGTGGTGCCCGTCTCTTCACGGATGCTCTCTCGGCCTCTTGAAGATTCCACCTGCCGTGTCACAGGCAGCCCTGCGGGGAGACCCATGTGCGAGGGAACAGGCCTGCCCATGGCCACGGGGTGAGCTTGGAAGTGGCCTTCAGGAGAGACTATGGCCCTAGCCAGCAAGACCCAGGGACAGGCGCACTCACTAGGAGGCACCCAGACGGAGCCCACGGTTCCCAACAGATAACACAGGATGCAACATGGTAGTCTGGTATCCAGCACTACATAACTAACCAGCCACCCAGTATCACCGATGGAATTTTAGTAAATCACCAGTCCCCTTAAAATAAAGTCGTTATGTTTGTAGTTTATAATTTTATTATAAACTTGGTTTTATTTTATAGCTGAGTTAAAAGCATGTAGCTATTTTTATTGCAGGTCTTTGCCTATTCTTATTAAAGCCACACTTCAATGCATCTAAGACAATGCTGGGGCCTGTAGGCCATTTCCTTAAGATGTCCACAAGTTTGAGAATCACAAATGATTCCTGCTGAGTGTGGACAAGGCCAGGCTAAGGATGTGTGTGTGGCCCCCAGAATTCCACCTCGTACTCTGTCTCTCTACAGCGGGTGTGATCTCGTAAAACACAACTCTGCCTGTGACTGTTCTGTAACATGCTCCTAACATGTATGGCACGTCTCTAAATGACAAGTGCCACATCCTGGCTTAAAGCCCTTTGAGGTCCCGACGCTTTATGGATGAAGCCCAGATTCTTCCTAGCAAAGATCTGGGGGCCACGTGTACAGCCTGGGTCTCCCTCCAACTCTCCACCACCTGCCGTGCCACCTCCCATCTCCCCACTTCTATTCATGCTAAACATCACTTCTCCTTGACAGCTCCTAGGTACCTGTCACTGTGGTCAACTGTAACCTGTGGTTCGGCACCCACCCCTGCCCACCTGCATGATGCCCCGAGGGCAGGGAGTATGTGCATCTTTCTCAGCACCCATCCCTGGGCAAGTTCTGGGAATCTGGGTTGGATGAGCAAGTGCCATGGCAGGTGTCCATCTGCTGGAACTCAGGCCTGCTGTGGAGTGCCCAGGAGGATGAATGGGCTCAGCAGCCCCGGAGGGCAGCACAGACACCAGCCCAAGCCTGCTTTGGGGAAGAGACGGGAGCCCCGAGGGAGAAACTGCTTCCCCAGAGTTGGCACCGTGTGTCATCCCGGAAGCAGGAATTTCTGGTCCAACGTTCTCCTTCCCTTAATGTCAGGTCAGCAAAGAGAAGCTTTTTCCATTCACAGTATCAAGGAGTCTCTTAAACACCTTCCTTTTCATTACCCTGAATGTAGCCAGGGCAGCCCTCTCTGGAGTCAGGAGGACGGTGCTTAAATTTGGCCTCCGATGCCTCTATCTTGGGACCTTCTGCCTCTGTCTTGGCCACCTGTCCCCCGTCCAGTCTCTCTGCTGTTAAATTCTCCTTGCAGCCAAGACCACCAGGTCGGAAATTAAACAGCTCTTGGTTTCTCTGCTGACTGTCGGCCTCCCCAGTGGACTTTGTTCTGTGCACACCTGCAGCCCAGAGCCTGGCAAAACTGGCCAAGACTTAGTGGGAATGAAAACTGGCCCACCTGTGAGCCTCTGCAATAAACGTCACCTGCAGGCAGCGGCCCTCGAGGAGCCCCAGCCAGTGCTCAGGGGTAGCTCCTGCTCCAGCTGAGCCAAGGGCTGGGAGGTGTAGGGGACAGCTCAGAGGCATCCAGGAATGGTGAGCTAGGTGCTCATAGAGGCCCAGTGACTGGGGTCATCTTGGCAAACAGTACTTCTTTTCCAGACTTTCTTGAGAAAGAGAGTTCAGAGGGCACAAGTGTGGGAGCTAAGGAGGAGCCGTGACCTGGCAGGACGGTGCCTCCCAGCTCCCTCCCCCATCCCCCTCCCCATTCCCCTTTATTGGGGTTTCCTGTGTTCACATGAGCTGAGCACCTCTGGAGACAGCCCACCTGCCCCTCAGCTGGCCTTGTGCCTCCCAAGCCTCCCTGAGACTCCACACTGAGAATTATCCCCTGACCCAAGGCTCACTGGGTCCACAGCTGGGTGGGACACCTGTCCGACCTTGGGGGGCCCTTCTGGAAAGCTTTGGAGGAATGAAGTCCACCTGGCAGAGAGATCGACCCAGCATCTCCATTTGGGTTACACTGACCCTGCACCTGAATTCCTGGATATCCTATACAACCTGATCACAGCCAGCTAATATCAGGAGTTCTTGCAAAATACCCAGCCAGATGCTAAAATCAAAAGATGGAAAAAAAAAATTAGGAAAAGTAGAAAAGGCAACCCGTGTTGGCAAATGACTTCAAACTCCTTCAACAGAATGTTGTGGTTGGGAAATGATTTTGGCAAACTGCCACAACACCAGTTCCTATCCATGCCCACGCACCTCATCACAGGAAGAGTGACTGGGTCCCGCAGTCTGCAGTCCTTACTACCCTACCACCAGAACTCTCTGGGCAACACTGATTTACCACCTACTCTTTGTAAATGAACACGTATTTAAGGACCATGCAACCAAAATGTATTGACTATTGGCATTCTTTGGGACAAAAAAAAAAATTTAAATGTTGCAAATATTTTTCAGCAGATTACTTCTATTAAAAATCAAATTTAACCTTGAGGTTCTCTTCACTAGTGAGAAGGCCACTGCAGGGTCTTTCTCCTGAGCAAGCTCAGGGAGGGACTTCCAGAAGCTTCAGTGTTGAATGGCCAGTTAAACTCAGCCCTTGGATCTTGTAAGGTGCTCTGCTTGCAAAGGGAAGGGGTGGACCCCAGCCAGGAAGGGCTTTCTTTGTCAGCTGGGCCAGTTGGCCCCCTGAGAAGCTCTGGGGCCTAGGACCCTGCTAGTTTATCTGAGGGGCCCCTGGAGGCTCAGAGTCCACGCACACATTTTTAAAAGCACATTCATGATATAGGAAGAGAAGCCGGGAGGTCACTTTAATTTTTACTACTATTGCTCAACAGTTGGGCTTTTTTTTCCCCCCCCTTTTAAAGATTCCTCTAATCCCCGCTGCCCTCCGGTTCCTGTAGCCTTTTTAAAACCCACCAGCAGACTGGGTCTGCAGACGGAGAAGTGAATTCTCTGAAATCGCAGAAACCTGGCTTAGGTTCCCTGCTGGGTCCCTGGCTCTCGGCCCTTTGCTCATCCGCAAAATGGGCTGTCGCGGCAGGTGGCTCCCGGGGTGCTGCCGCTCCGACAGCCCGGGGAGGAGGCCGCCCGAGCCCGGGGCGCAGTGCGCAGGGGGACTGGGGCGGGTGCGGGGTCGGGACGCACGTCCCGCACCGGGTTGCCCAGACTCACCAGGGTTTCCACCTCGTCCCTCTCCAGCGCGTGGTACTGGTGGCCCCGGCCCCAGAAGGCGAGTTTCTGCAGGAACTTGAAGCGTCTCTCGGCCATGGTGAGAGGGAGGAGTCCCCGACGGCCTCGCGTCGGGCCGGCGGCCGCCCCTGCCTGCGTCTCCGGGCCCCAGCGAAGCCGCGGCCGGCTGTGCGCGCCCGAGCCTCCCGGGCCAGTCCAGGTTACCAGGTAGCTACCTACCTGCCCGCCCAGGTGAGGGCCCGCCCCTGGGCGGGGATGCGCACAGGGCGGCGCTCGGCATCCCTGGCCCCGCCCCGCGAGTGCTCCGGGGACCCCTGATCCCTTGGGGACTGCAGCAGCCAACGGAGTAGCTGTGTGCCTCAGATCCTGGGCTGTTTCCCAAATTTGTCAGATCACAAGAAACACCTGGAGTGAGGAAGCCCCGGGGCCAAGTCTGGTTTAAAATCCTGTTCCCCTACCTCCCCACCCTGAGTCTTCGGTATGACTATGTGTGAGGGCAGGACAGGGAGTCTATTGAGGAGCCAAGCTGGTCAACACTAACATATGGGCAGCAGCGTGGCCTGGAGCTGAGTCAGATCCCTAACTGCTGCTGTGTGGCTCTGGATGAGCCACCTGGCTTCCCCTGTAACTGACGTGGAACACAAAGCTGAGACCTCATCCCCTGGGCCCTGGGAGGGAATCCTAGCAGCAGGAGGTTGGAGGACCACTGCTGCCTTCAGCCAACATGGCCCTCGCCCTCATCTGCAGAGGGTCTCTGGTGCCTGCTAACAGTGGGCCTTGGGAGGTCTCCTGAGTTTCTCTGTCCACGGCCCCCAGGACAGTACCTCCTTCCTGGTGAAATTCAGGGTCCGGGGGGCAGTGTGGCACGGGGCTGGGGCAGGACTTGGCACACAGCATGTTCTCATCAGGCTGTCACAAGGAAGCCGCTGGACTCGCATGGCCCCCAGGGCATGACAGTGGGTGTGCAGTGACTTGGCTTCAGATGGGACTAGAATCCATACAATGAGACCCACCACTGAGTCGAGGGTGGCTTTGGGGAAGGACATGCCACTCTCTGCCCTCAGCGTCCTCATCTGTAGAGGGAGGTGCTGTGGGAGATGACATATGTGTTTGTCCTTGCAATTGAGTGGCCCCTTCTAAGCAAATATTTGCCAGCGACTTCAACTGCTCCCCAAGGGTGGCCACCCAGCCCCGTTCCACGGGACGGAAAATTCTGGTGGCTCATGGTGTCTCTCCTGCATCTCCCCCTTTAACTGTAACTAAAGAGGTCCCTGCACGGGCTGCACGCCCCCCCCCCCGCCCCCCAGCTTAGGAAAGGGGCAGAGCTGGGCAGCTGGGTGGGCCAGATTGGAATTCCAGTCCTTTCCTTTCTGATGTGTGACCTCGTACAACTTTCTTCACCTCCACGCTCCTCAGTTTTCACATCCATAAAATGAGGATGTCACCACCTACCTGGATGAATCAGGGTCCCAGAGTTTGAGAAACAGGGTTCCAAAGGTGGGCAGGGCACAGGGAGAGCAGAAGCAAGTGCACGGTGACTCGAGGTCATTAGTGGGGAGAGTGGCTACTGTGCAGGGCCTGGAGGGCAGTCACCTGCAGGGGGCAGCTGTGTGGATGCGAGAATGTCCCTGGAGGGCATGGCTCTGACCCAAAGCCAGCTGTCAAGGGAGTCAGGGACACAGCTCCCTGGGCCAGGAGTGGGGAAGGGTGGACAGGGCTCTGGGGGGTCAAGGGGAGGTGCCCAGCACCGACCTCAGGTCCACCGCGCAGGTCAGGCTGAAGCTTGCACCGGGAGGGCCTGACCTGGCGAGTCCCAGGAGAGGCTGTGGTTAACACAAAAGAACAGGGTGAGCTCGCAGGGTCTTTCCAACGAGCACCCCTGATTTTAAGCTAGTGCTGATCCAGGACAGAACACCTGAGGGCCAGGAACTCAGGGTTTCCCAAGAGTGCTGACCAGGGAGCCTTCTCCAGGTGGCGCGGCACCCACAACGGCAGGTAGGACTCCGGCCTCCGCCTTCCCCCTGAAACTCCCATCTCTCAGATCCCATCACCATGGTCCCTGTCCAACCCAGAGACGGCAAGGCTTGAGAGTGCCCTCCATGTAGGTATTGGGGTGGAGAACAAGAACATTGGAGTGGACCCCAGAGAGATAAGCTATGACTGGGCACCCCTTGATGGGCACCGGTTTTGCATGGTGATTAGTCAATGCAGCCTGCCACACATCTGCTGCATGTGCCTTTCCTGAGCCGGTGATGGACCTGTGTGCCCTTTCCCTAAGCGTTTTGATGGCACTAGTTGGTGTGTGGGTGGCGCACTCCTGGAATCCCAGGGACTCTGGAGGCTGAGGCAGGAGGATGGTGGGTTCAAGGCCAGCCACGGCAACTTAGCAAGGACTTAGGCAACTCAGTGAGACCCGGGGTCAAAAAAAAAAAAAAAAAAAAAAAAAAAAAATGGCCAGGGATGTGGCTCAGTGTTTGAGTGCCCCTGGGTTCAATCCCCAGTACCCAAACCAAAACCAATCCAGACGAAGTTGGTGCGTTCTTTGTACATTGTTGGTGTTTTCTCTGCGTCTGTTCACCCTGACTTTCTAGTTATGGGGTTCGTGCCCTTGTTTAGTGGAGGCTACTGGTCAGACATGGGAAGGCAAGAGAAGCATGTCCCCTTTCAGCCTCTCTCCTGAGCCATTTTCTTCGGTGCCCGCTGGTGTTCCCCGGGTTCTGCTAAGCCGTGGTGAGTCCACTGGCTTCTCGGCCCCTCTCACGCCTCCTTTGCAGGCTTCTTGAGGCAAGCACTCTTCTCCTCGCCTTCATCTTTCACTTTGATTTTGAAACGAGCAGGGTGTTCCAACGCCCCCGCGCCCAGCAGTCACACCTGCCGTCTGTAATTGTCCTCAGGGTCCCTCTTGGCCTCTCACCTCCTATAGAGTCCACGGTCGTCTCGGTCATCTTCAAGATTCTCCTTCCTCTCCGAGTTTGTTTGCTGGTTTGTTGTTTCTGTCTGGAGACTTCTAGAGGCCACGCAGCTGCCTGACTTCCTGAGGGTGGCAGCTGAGCGTGACCCCACCTGGCACACGGGCCGTGGATGAGAGCCCAGGGCGGGACCTGAGCAGGCATCCAGTCTTTCCTGAAATGTCTGCCGCAGGCACCGCGGGCATGGCGGCCTGGCTCGTCAACCCCGGCTCACTCTCTCTGAAGGTGGTGTCATCCCATTACCCACCACTGTCTCCTGACAAGGCACCTGTCGCAGAGGCACCTGGAATTTACTTGGTAATTAACTTCACTCACAAGTCTGGCATTGAAGGCGACCTTTTCAGGGGTGCACCATACAAAGGTGGCTTGAGACGCCTGTGCAGGTGTAAGAGCTAGCTGGAGCCCTGGCTTCCTGCACAGGCCCTCTGTGTGAAGAACTGTGTGCTCAGCACGGGGCTCTCACAGGCGGAGAGACCTGGACGCTGCAGCTGAAGTGCATTTCATTCAACACATATTTTCAAGCAGCAAGCACACGTGTGTCCCATCCTGGTCCCTGGAAACAGAGTGTGACCTTACTGGGAGGGGTCTTCATGGACGTACTTCTGCCGAGGACCTCAACTGGGTGACAGTTAACTCCGGGGACAGGAGAAGAGCCACGTGAAGATGGAGGCAGGGCTGGAGTGACGGGCACTAGCCGAGGGGCACTGGGGCGCTGGAGGCTGGGAGAGGCAGGAAGGAGCCTCCCCTGGAGCCCGCACAGGGAGCTGGCCCTGCGAGCCCTGGGTTTGAAACTCTGGCCTCCAGAACTGAGGAAGAAGAGCATCCGCAGTGCCGGCCACCCAGGCAGTGGCCATTTACTGCAGCAGCTGGGAGGCCACTGTGGTGGGCAGTGCCACCAGGGAAAGTAAACAGGGCACCCCAACGGGGGGGTCTTGTGCAGAGGACGCCAAGCAGAGAGGGGCAAAGCCAGCCCCAGGCTAGGGGACCCCTGATGCGAACCAGCCCCTCATCTTCACCAAGCTCAGGTGAGCCCAGGGCCCCCAGGTACCAGGCCTCACACTTCCATGGTCACTTCCTCCAGACAGACCTGGGCCAGCACCTCCCACAGCTGTGACCTTGGTGGGCTTCTGGGGGCTTCACTCCCTCCCACCAGGAGGGACAGGCTCAGACCTGTGGAACATGATGCCAGGGCCCAGCGACACGGAGACCGCGAGGTCAACATAGCCGGGATGCCTGGCCTCCCCCTCCTCCCACAGAGCAGCAGATGCCAGCAGCCACTGGCCGGCACTTCCCCTGGGCTGGGCAGGCCTGGGGCTCCTTGTCACCTTCAAGGAGCCACCATAATGGTTGGCACCTGGCACATGAATAAGTCTATTTACCAAAGGCTGTTCAGAGGAGGAAGGAGTGACCTTGGGCAGAACCTTCTAGAAGGTGGAGGTGTACCTGGAGATCTCCCTGTGGGGTGAGGAGGCAGAACCAACAAGGACTCTGGTGGGGAAAGGACTCCTCACTGCCCTTCTCCAGGGCCCCTCTTCACACACCTTCCCCAGGCCAACGGCTAGCGATTAGGAGGATTTTGTCCACTAAATAATGTGGCATTTGTGAAATATAAATGAAATATAAATGGCTCCCTTATTTTTGGAGCAGTTTTAGGTTTATAGAAAAATTGCACAGAAAATACAGAGTTCCTGGGTGCCTCACCTTGAGTTTCTCCTGTCCGCATCCAGCGTCTGTGTGTGTGTGTGTGTGTGTGTGTGTGTGTGAGACAGACAGACAGACAGACAGCATCCCAGCCATGGACATGGCCTGCAGAAGTCCACTGTTCCCTTCCCTCAGGGTCCCACTTGGTGGTTATGACACGCACCCACCACTACAGTGTCGCAGGGAATGCAGTCACTGCCCTGAGCCCCCCGCGCCCCCCATTCTGCTCCACCTTTCCTGGACCCCTGGCACCTTCCAATCTTTTCACTATCTCTGCAGATTTACCTTTTCCGGACATTAGACTGTTGGAAATTTGACCCCTTTGAAAATTCACTCTCATTTTGAAAGTTCAAAGGCGTCTCCCAGAGCTACGAGAATGTCCATCCAAAGCACAGCGGCCCCAGGTGG